GGGAGAGGTGGTTTGTGTATTGGGAGTTAGAGGAGTGTATATATTGGGTTAGTATGTGGGTAGTGATGAGGGTGTTAGTGAAGTGTTTTATGTGGGAGGAGAAAAAAGGGGGTAGAGGTGGGTTAGTGGAATATGTGATATAGGATATATTGTGTTTGGTAGAAAAAAGAGAAAGAAAAGATGGGTGGGCGGAGTGTGGGGAGAGGAGGGGGGGGGGGTGGGGGGGGGGGGGGTACTCATAGTCGTGCATGCCGTTGTCGTTAGACCATTGACCTCGCATCCCTACAAAGCCGGGACGGAGCACGCCGGGTTCTCACCGGACCAGGCTCTCACATCACCAAGCGCGAAGCGCCGTGAGGTATTTGGCGAGTCGCATGAAGGGTGAGCTGCATCCTGCTAAGGGTGTTCGGCATCTTGTGCTTACTTCCTTGCGTACGGATGACAGCTACGTATGACTTAATTTATTTTCTGGTGCTTTCACTTCCAGAGACAGTTGGAAGCACTGTGTAACTGCCTCGAGGATGCTTGACCATTTTAACACAACGTGGTGCGATCATCCCCCGTTGCGCGGAGTGAGGTTTCTCGACCCCGCACAACATGATCTACTCGACCACCATTATGGTTACCGCCAAAACAAAAACCGAGGTAAAAAAAAAAAAAAAACGGTAACCTGGTTGCCGAGTTCACGAAGTGAATTGGCCTGTTTTACAACGTCGTTGCCAAGCGACGAAAACCCAATCCCGATGGCAAACACCGAGGGGGGGTGGGGGTGGGGGTGTACTCATAGTCGTGCATGCCGTAGTCGTTTGACCATTGACCTCGCATCCCTACAAAGCCGGGACGGAGCACGCCGGGTTCTCACCGGACCAGGCTCTCACATCACCAAGCGCGAAGCGCCGTGAGGTATTTGGCGAGTCGCATGAAGGGTGAGCTGCATCCTGCTAAGGGTGTTCGGCATCTTGTGCTTACTTCCTTGCGTACGGATGATAGCTGCGTATGACTTAATTTATTTTCTGGTGCTTTCACTTCCAGAGACAGTTGGAAGCACTGTGTAACTGCCTCGAGGAAGCTTGACCATTTTAACACAACGTGGTGCGATCATCCCCCGTTGCGCGGAGTGAGGTTTCTCGACCCCGCACAACATGATCTACTCGACCACCATTATGGTTACCGCCAAAAAAAAAAAACAGAGGTAAAAAAAAAAAGACGGTAACCTGGTTGCCGAGTTCACGAAGTGAATTGGCTTGTTTTACAACGTCGTTGCCAAGCGACGAAAACCCAACCCCGATGGCAAATACCGGGGGGGGCGGCTTGTTTTGCAACGTCGTTGCCATGCGACGAAACCAACCCCGATGGCAAACACCGGGGGGGGGGGGTACTCATACTCATAGTCGTGCATGCCGTAGTCGTTTGACCATTGACCTCGCATCCCTACAAAGCCGGGACGGAGCACGCCGGGTTCTCACCGGACCAGGCTCTCACATCACCAAGCGCGAAGCGCCGTGAGGTATTTGGCGAGTCGCATGAAGGGTGAGCTGCCATCCTGCTAAGGGTGTTCGGCATCTTGTGCTTACTTCCTTGCGTACGGATGACAGCTACGTATGACTTAATTTATTTTCTGGTGCTTTCACTTCCAGAGACAGTTGTAAGCACTGTGTAACTGCCTCGAGGATGCTTGACCATTTTAACACAACGTGGTGCGATCATCCCCCGTTGCGCGGAGTGAGGTTTCTCCACCCCGCACAACATGATCTACTCGACCACCATTATGGTTACCGCCAAAAAAAAAAAACCGAGGTAAAAAAAAAAAAAAGGTAACCTGGTTGCCGAGTTCACGAAGTGAATTGGCTTGTTTTACAACGTCGTTGCCAAGCGACGAGAACCCAATCCCGATGGCAAACACCGAGTGGGGGGCTTGTTTTACAACGTCGTTGCCAAGCGACGAAAACCCAAACCCCGATGGCAAACACCGGGGGGGGGGGGTACCGATTTGTCATGACTGTTGACGACAAGAATGTACCAACAGGGAAAACGTTTTTTACGATATGTTGTGTCCGTTGTTCGAGGAATACGTTTTGAAAGATGCAAATATTTTAACAGAGAGCTGTGGCGGGGAGGGGAGCGCGCGCTCAGCTGCCGCTAGATTTAAGCCTTCCACCACTGCCCTCGAACGGGACACGTCCAATATTTGGGGCTCCTCCACACCTCGAAAAATCTTCCCTGTTACCCCACATGGGGCAAAGGGGGGGGGGATTGGAAGGTACGGTCCAGTTTCGACGCCACACGTTCTCAGCTGCTCTCTTCGCATGGATTTCGAGGTCTAAAACTAACAGGCCCAAAGTGCGAGTTTTAGCCTCCTGCGGTGTACTCTCCCCTACCAGTACACGCAAATTCGAAAGGGCACAGTCTGCCTGGGCCAATCGTGACAAAGACATGACAGGGCGTAGATACGGATAGAATCAAATTCGGTTTCGGAACGGGCTCGTAACCCAGGCAGCTCGAATCAAGGACGGGCGAAAACATCGACCGCATGATCAACCGCGGCGCTGCAGACAAGGCCGCAATGGAAAGCCTAGACCTGCTCGTGCATGCCGTTTCTTCGCCGTGACATCTTTTGTTTTGTTTTTTCTTCGCTTCAAATCAGCGCTCACGGCGTTTGTACCGTTTGCTCCAAACCGTGGTCACACAGAAGGATTCCTCTCCCCGAGGCCACCTACCCACCCCTCCTGCGGTGCTTTGCCTTCCGATTTTTTGTGCGAGAACAGTGCAGCACTCTCTTCCCTCTGTGTGCACACGAACTAGCGCTTTCCACCCAGGCCAGGAAAGGAACGGAAGCGAGAGAAAAAAACTCACTTTCCAAGAATAGCTCGCTTACCCCGGGATTCGAACCCCTGACCTTGGCCACTAGAGGATTTTGCGAGGATACCAACTAGACTATCAGGGCGGCCGGCATTGCAACCCCAAGACAGCAGCAGTGCCAGCCCTAGAAAAACCGTTCTTGACGCTATTCTCACCGCGACCTTGTGAAGATCTGACTCAGCGTCGAGAACCCGGGTCCAGATGACGACGTGCCCATCTTCCCCTCCGGTGACGAGGTGGTCCTGGTTGTTCTTGGAAGGCGTCACCCACGCCACGGCCTGGGCCGGTCTGGGCGTACCAGAGCAACAGCAGTTGCAGCGGCACCACCACAGGCAGCAGCAGCAGCAGCAGCAGCAGCAGTCGAATCAGCGGGTGAAACGGAACAAGCAGTAAGCGGCAGCAGAAGCAGCAGCAGCAGCAGAAGCAGTACTGGCCACAGAGCAAGCACAAGCGGCAAGTCCAGCAACGACAACAAGCGGAAGCCTCGCCCGACGCAGAGATACCAGCGGCAGAATGAGTCCAGACATGAGCATCACAAAACCGCACGGAGACGAGATCCCAAAGCGGACAGCTTCAACAGCAGCACAAGCAGCAGCAGCAGCAGCAACAACAGCAGCAGCAACAGCAGCAACAGCAGCAACAGCAGCACGCTCACTTGTGGTGACGGTCGGAGCGCAGCTTCATGTCGGACTTTCTCCGACCGTCCTTCGCAATGATCGTCGCCGCCCAGTTGTTCACGAGGGTGCTTCCCGAGTGCCCGATGGCCAAGTGGGTGCCGGAAGGGTTCCACGCCATGTGAGCCTGCTCCAAGCCGGCCAGACGACGATTGGGGTCCCGCAAAACACTTTCGTCAGACTCCGAGAATATCGCAAGGGTTGGGGGAAATTCTCACGCATGTACAAGAGCACATGAGAAAGAGAGGGGGGGGGGGGGGGGGGGGGGTTGT